TCCTGTGTTTCTCCTTCCCAGAATCCTCCTGGACTCCTAGTCCCACCTATCTAGATTCCTATTGGCTCAACAGTGCTTTATTAACAAATGTAAAGGACTTCCCCAATAGAACTGGGATTGATATGTAAAATAAGAATAAAATTTCTTTTTAAAAGGAAAATAAATAAATCCTGAAATAAGTGTTTACAGTAAAAAAGCAGCATGTAAGAAGCCATAGGAATAGAAGATTTTTTAGGAGTGAGGAAGTAGCACTTGGAGACTTTGGAATGTGGGTCTGCAGGACAAAAGAGCCAGAGCCATGTGGAAAATACAGCAGGCTAAGGCTTAAGCTGTGGGTCTCCCAGGCTGTTGGGAGAAAGAAGAGCAAACAGAAAAAAATGTTCATGTAGATGCAATAGGTTGCAGGAGTGAGACAAGCACAAATGTGTTCATGTGGAAAGTCAATAGGAAGAATCAGACTCTAAAATTAGTAATTAGATTCACTCACAAACAAATGATCAGCAGATGCTGTAGGACACTTATACAATTTAGGGTGGGAGAGCAGGCAAAAACAGGCAAAGAGGATGGATCAGTTAAAAAAGGCAAAGTGGGTACCTTTTGGTGTTCCCTGCCAAGGTATGCCTCTAAGAGAACACATCAAAAATAGCAGAGTTAGTGCAAGAGGTTTATTGGGGGAACGGGGAGATCGAAATAGCAAAAAGCCATCTTGGAGAAAGACATGGGAGGTAGGTAGACTGACCAGCAGAGAACATGGATAGGGAGGGGTGGAGATGTCAGTGACTCATACACCACAGTTTAGGGTCACAGTTCCCAGATAAAGGAGGGACTGGAGGCACTGCAACCCTAGCCAACAAACTTGGGCTATGGGTCACTCACTAGCTATGGAGGGAGGAACAAGAGCACAGGACCCCAAAACCCTGGATGTACTGAAGCTCAGACTATTTGTTCACATGAAGGCAGAAATTTTCAAGACCAGGAAGGATGTTAAAGTCAGTCCTTCTGGTAGCCGTCTTGAGCAGTTATCAAGATCATATGAGGCCAGGCTATACAGCACAAGGAAATCAGGTGTTTTGGACATATGGTATCAGAGAGTCTCAATTTGGATAAATGTCATAGTAGACATACTGAGGGTGGCTGGGAATCAAGCTTATGTCTGTAATTACTCATTTCCAAGCTTTTTTCTGGAGACCAAAGGCTATAGAAATGCATCCAGTGCTATAGCCTAGGACCAAGGAAAGTGGGATGAGTTTGGAACTGCCTTTATACAGAATGTTTCCAGTACAAAGGACCCCATGGAACAGTCATGCTCTCTGTTCTGGCAATGACTAGGTTTGCCTGGCATTGAAGAAATATCATCACATCCCCACTATCAGTTTACCCAAGAGATCTCTTCTAGTTCCCTTTCCCAGGGAGATCCATGAATCTCTATCTGGGCCCTCCTTGTTATTGAGCCTATCTGGGATTGTAGATTGTAGGGTAGTCATCCTATATTTTACTGCTAATAGCCACTTAAGAGAGAGTACATACCATGTATGTCTTTACGGGTCTGAGTTACCTGACTCAGAATGATTTTTTTCTAGTTGCATCCATTTGCTTGCAAATTTCATGACATCATTGGTTTTTACAGCCAAGTAGTACTCCATTGCGTAAATGTACTACATTTTTCTTTATCCATTCTTTGGTTGAGGGGCATCTAGGTTGTTTTCAGGTTCTGGCTATTACGAATAATGCTGCTGTGAACAAAGTTTAGCAAGTTTCTTTATGTCATGATTGAGCACCCTTTGGGTATATGCCCAAGATTGGTATTGCTGGGTCTTTAGGTAGATTTATTCCCAGTTTTCTGAGAAACCACCATACTAATTTCCAAAGTGGATGTAAAGTTTTCACTCCCACCAGCAGTGGAAGGAGGTTTCCTCTTGCTCCACATCTTCTTCTATAAAGGCCATCATCAGTGTTCCTATCTCAGAGTTGTTTTGATTTGCATTTCCCTGATGACTAAGGATACTGAATAATGCTTTAAGTTTTAAGTGTATGTCAGTCATTTGAGATTCTTCTGTTGAGAATTCTGTTTAGATCATATCCCAATTTTGCATATTTTATCTTTTTATTTTAAAGACAATCTTTTCTCATTTTACATAACAATCCCAGTTCCCACTCCCTCCCCTCCTCTTTCTACCCTCTCTCCCCCCCCCACCCAACCCCTATCCACTCCTCATAGAGGGTAAGGCTTCCCATGGGGAGTCAATGAACTCTGATACTTTTGAGGCAGGACCAAGGCTCTGCCTCTTATATCTAGACTGAGCAAGGTATTCCTCCTAAGAGAATAGGCTCCAAAAAGTCAGTTCAAACACTAGGGATAAATCCCTGGTCCCATTTTTTAAATAGGTTTATTTGATATTTTGATGCCTAGTTTCTTGAGTTCTTTATATATTTTGGATATCAGTCCTCTGTTAGATGTGGGGTTGAAGATATTTTCCCATTCTGTAGGCTACCTTTTTGTCTTATTGACCATATCCTTTGCCTTACAAAAAAATTTCAGTTTCAGGAGGTCACATTTATTAATTGTCTGTCTCAATGACTGTGCTACTACTATTACAATCAGGAAGTAGTCTTCTGTGCCAATGTATTCAAGGCTACTTCCCACACTCTCTGCTATCAGGTTCAGTGTAACTGGATTTATGTTGAGGTCATTTATATACTTGGACTTAAGTTTGATACAGAGTAATAAATAAGGATCTATTTGCATTCTTCAACATGCTGACATCCAGTTATGCTGACACCATTTGTTGATGATTTTTCTTCCATTGAATAATTTTGGCTTCTTTGTCAAAAATCAGGTGTTCACAGGCATGTGGATTTATGTCAGGGTCTTCAGTTCACTTCCCTTGGTCTACATGTCTGTTTTATGATGAAAACAAACTTTTTATTTATAACTCTATAGCAGAACTTGAAGTCAGGGACAGTGATATATCTGGAGGTTCCTTTATTGTACAGGGTTGTTTTAGCTAACCTGTTTTTTTTTTTCAAATGAAGTTGAGTATTGTTTTTCCAAAGTCTCTGAATAATCATTCTGGGATTTTGATGGGCAATGCATTGAATCTGTAGATTGCTTTTGATAAGATTGCCATTTTTACAATGTTAATCTACTTAATCTTGAGCATGGGGGGTCTTTCTATTTCTGATATCTTCCTTCAACAACTTACAGTTCTTGCACTTGTTTGGTTAGAGTTACCCCTGATATTTTATATCATTTGTAGCTATAACAAGGGTGTTGTTTCTCTGATTTTTTCTTAGTCTGTTTATCAGCTGTATATAGAAGGGCCACTGATATTTTTTAGTCTATCTTGTACCCTGCCACATTACTGAAGGTGGTGAGTTTCCAGGTGGAATTTTTGGGGTCCCTTGTTTATATTATAATATCATCTACAAATAGCAAAACTTTGCCTTTTTCCTTTCCAATTTATATCGCTTTTATCTCCGTTATTGTCTTATTGTCCTACCTAGAACTTCAAGTACTATACTGGATATATATGAAGAGAATGGACTGCCTTGTCTTATTCCCAATTTTAGTGGAATCACTTTGAGCTTCACTCCATTTAATTTGATGCTGACTGTCAGTTTGTTGTATATTGCTTTATTATGTTTACATATGTTCCATTTATCCATGATCCCTCCAAGATCTTTATCATGAAGGGGTGTTACATTTTGTCAAAGGTTTTTAAAGCATCTAATGAGATGTTCGTGTGGGTTTTCTCTTTCAGTTTGTTTATATGGTGGGTTAAATTGACAGATTTTCATGTTAAACCATCCTTGCATCTGTTGATTGAAGCCTACTTGATCATTGGGGATAACTTTTTATGTGTTCTTGTATTTGGATTGCCAGTAATTTAGTGAGTATTTTTGCATCAATGTTCATGAGGGAAATTGGTCTGTAATTCTCTTTCTTTGTTGCATCTTTGTGTAGTTTGGGTATCAAAACAAATTTGACAATTTTTCTTCTGTTTCTATTGTGTGGAATAATTTGAGGAGTATTAGCTCTTCTTTGAAATTCTGGTAGAATTCCAAGATGAAACCACCTGGCTCTGGGCTTTTTTTGGTTGGGAAACTTTCATTGATTGCTTCTATTTCCTTAGGAGTTATAAGTCTATTTAAATTGTTTATAGGCTCTTAGTTTAATTTTGGTATGTAGTACCTATCAAGAAAATTGTTTATTTCTTCTAAATTTTCCAATTTTATGGTGTACAGGTTTTTGAAGTATGACTTAATGATTCCCTGGTTTTCCGTACTGTCTGATGTTATGTTCCCCTATTCATTTCTGATTTTGTTAATATGGATATTATCTCTCTGCCTTTTGGCTAGGTTTGTCTACCTTGTTGATTTTGTCACAGAAACAGCTCCTTCTTTGTCTGATTCTTTGTATTTTTCTGTTTGTTTCTATTTTACTTGTTTCACTCCATGAGTTTGATTATTTCCTGCCATCTACTCTTTCTAAGTGAGTTTTTTCTAGAGCTTTCAGTTGTGCTGTTAAGTATCTAGTTGTGATTTCTCCAAATTCTTCATGTAGGCACTTAGTGCTATAAATGGGCTCTGGTTATTAGTCAATTTCAAATTAAGAGTTAAATCTCATAAATGACACTGTTGTACAAGATGATTACCCAAAATTAGTTCAGAATCAAGACTAGTTGGAAAAGATAACATGGATATAGAAAGATTAAGGGGAGTTAAGAGAAAAAAATGATAATAAAATGTTGAAGTTACGTTAAGATTGTAAGGTATGGAGAACATATTAGACAGCCTTTTCCACTGTACATTTTCAATATCATTTATACAAGGCAAGAAGGTAGATATAGTCAGCTGTCTAAGATGATCTTTGCTGCTTTGACTACTCCACTACACCTCTTCACAGTCATGTAGGTCCTATGATGACAGAGAACATCTGACAAAATACTAACATCACTAATTTATTACATAAAATTAGGAAAAAATCCCAAGTGCTACTATTACAAAGAGATTTTCTTATTGCAGATAATTCTCATTAGGGCCCTCTTCATGTCTCTGTTCCTCAGGCTGTAGATGAAAGGGTTAAGCATTGGAGTCACCACTGTGTACATCATAGCCATGGTAGTCTCCTTTACAGTAGAGTTATTACCTGATGGACATAAGTAGAGACCAATTATTGTCCCATAGTACAAAGAAACCACAGACAGGTGGGAACCACAGGTAGAGAAGACCTTATAGATGCCCTGGGTAGAAGAAAGCTTGAGAATGGAGGAGACAATCCTGGCATAGGACATAACAATGAGTAGGAAAGGCATGACAACAGTGAGCCCTCCTGAGATAAATATCATCAACTCATTAACATAAGTGTCTGAGCAGGCTAACTTCAGAAGAGCATATAAGTCACAGAAAAAGTGGAGAATCACATTGTTTTCGCAAAAAGACAATCCAGCTGTGAGAATGGTGTGCATCATGGCATGTAATGTGGTCAGCATCCACAATGGCAGCAATAGACAAGCACAGAGCTTGGGGCTCATGATGCTGGTGTAATGAAGAGGAAAGCAAATGGCCACATAGCGGTCATAGGCCATGGCCACAAGAAGAAAGTTCTCCATGTCTCCAAAAAACATATAGAAGTACAGCTGTGTCAGGCAGCCTCCATAGTTGATGGATGGTATTTGGCTCTGCATGTTCTGCAGCAATTTGGGCATTGTGACAGAGGAGAAACAGAGGTCAGAGAAGGACAAGTTGCTGAGAAACAAGTACATGGGTGTGTGGAGATGGGAGTCCAGTAGAATGAGGATGATGATTAACAGGTTCCCCAGGATGGTGGTGAGGTAAATGGCCAAGAACAGCATATTGAATAGGTGGTGGTACACTGAGGGGATAGGAAGGTCCAGTAGTAAGAAATCTGAGAAGAAAGTTTGGTTGCTTCTAGTCATGATATGCTTGCAATGGCTTAAGAAAAAATAAACACCTTATTAAACTCCCAATGGTTAAGTGTGTATGAAATCTCATAGCTCAGTTGACTATTTTGTCTCTTTTGTTTACATTTGAAAAAAGAATTTTCTTTATTTTTATGTTCTTTGCTTCAGTATGGCATGAAATAACCTCAGCCCATTTATTCCCTCAAATGTCCTTGGTAGTGATGGCATCCAAACCCTGTCCTTTCAGTCTGCCAACAGCCATTTCTACACATCAATCTCTATATCCCAATGAAAATAGACACGGTTTGTGACATGCATGGCACGTTTCATTCTCTATAGAAACTAATCTTACTCTCATGGAAGTAACTGTAATATCTACATTCAAATATGATCACTCTTTGAGGTCAATGAATAACATTTCTTAATACTGCTTTAGCATATGCTAGTATTGCCTAATCACACCTATTTGCTTCTGATTTGCAAAATGTTTTGGAATATCTCTTTCCTGCCTGCATACTTATTCTGGGCAATATTAGTTCACCTCATTCTACAGTTTATTTCTGTGAATTTTCTTTAAGGAGTTTTGTAACCTCATAATTCTATATGAGCCCCAAGCAAAACACATATACTTTAATGTGTTAGATTACCTTTAAAAGTCAGATGCAGTTGTCTTTCTAACCTAGTGAATTTACTCCCTCACCACCATGGACATCTGAGGACCAATTGATTCCAAGAGAAATTCACTCCTCTCTCTCCCAACCTCTTTCTCCTAAGTCTCTACTGTCTCATAACATGAAAAAAATTGATTCAAGACCTAATAAATGAGTTTTATTGCACTTTTTTCTGTTTTTCTTCCCTTAAACTCAAATCAAGCATATTTTACAGAATCCCACCTTTATCTTCCATTTTCCAGGCTGTAAAACTACCCAATCATTTTCTTAGAAATGAATGCCATCATTTCTTGTCTGAAATACTGGTGAGAATTCAAATATAATTCATATCTCATGTCTCAATACTATTTTCTTCAATATTTTTAAGCACCACTGGCATTCTGAGATGGAAATGCAGACCTCTCTATCCTGATTCATTTGTCAGATGACCATCTTGTTCATAGGACAAAATTCCTATCATGTGAACAAACTAGTCATCCTTACCTGACTTGGAACAACCTCTACAGCCTAATATGGCCTCACATAGTACCCACATTCTCTCTCAACAAAACTTCAGATGGAAATTCATGCCTCCATTATTTCTTATTTGAAGTTCTCTTTGTCTATCACATCCTCTCCTCTGTGGTGAAGCTTGCCCCAGTTGTGTGTCCACAATAGAGCATGGCATATGCTAAGTTAAACATTTCTTTTGTAACTACACACAGTAATACCTGCTACCATGGTCCCTCAATATCGTGTACTTATCTCACAGCTACCAGTGGCCCAGATCACTGGTTCACAGCTGTTGTTGCCAGTCTGTATACTTCATGAAGAAGTATCCATGCCTGCCTTCATCTTTTAGCAAGACCAGACCTGTCTAGATGTGGCTTTGTGTTCGTGAGGATTTCCTAGCTGGTCTCTAGTCTTGGAATAGACTCTTTCAAATTTAAGTCAGAAATGCACATGAAATGCATCTAATTACTCTTATTTAATTTCTCCAAAATACAAACTGCCTAAACTTGACATTTACCATGAAAATTTGACACTCTGTGATGAGCTTCACAGATGAGATTGTATTCATGGAGAGTCTTTCACTGGGTGAGATGTTTTGCTCTTTTCAATAATATTAATGATTCAAAACGTTTATGCTTCAATACATATAATCCCAATAATAATGATGCAGGGAAATAAATATGGTGAATATTTCATGAAATACCAATAACAAACAAATAAAAACCATTCGGTATTTTTAATTCCTCACTTAATTTCATCTTCAGTTATCCATGCCTAACATGATAGTTAATTCTTTTAGGAAGTGGTACAAGACTTGGTAGCAATTATATTCAAAATATAATTCAGAATATTTCTATGAGGGTGTTATTAACACTTGAATTAGTAATTCACATTATCAGAGAGAGTAACCATAACTCTTCACAGTATGATAGGCCTCACATGAGCAGTTGGCAGAAGAAAAACCATAGTCCCTTGGGAAACTGTACACAGGCTGCTTGGATTTGAGACTATAACCTCCACTCTTCCCAGGGACTCCAGTTCACACCTATTGGACTTATCAAGTCCCAATTGTGTGGGCTGTATCTTAAAACAGTTCCTTGTCTGATTCTGTTTTCTTCTAGATAACATTGCCTAATGAACCCTAGTCTATATCAACACTGGAAGAGAAGTCCTGAGAATCACCAAGACATTGGGGACAGGGACTGTGTATTTAGCTCAATGGTACTGAAGCTATCTAGCATGTCCAAGGTCCCAAGTACCACCTCTAACTGGGAATAAAACAGAAAAAGAAAATGAAGGACACACATAGAGGTGGGAAATACTTCCATGACACTATCTGAATTTAGTTGCTGAGATCTCCATCCTGCTAATTGTTATTGGGGCAGCTGCACTAACAGTTTAACACTTGAATGTTGTATTTGATAACAAAGAGAAGATCAATTCAAGTGAAATCGTGCACCTAGTTTCTCAGAATTATTCTTATCCCATGAATGAATGGGTCCCATGTCTTATGAAGGCTTACATGCCGAGATTGCAGAGAAGAAGTTACCTGTGAATCTTACTGTTCATGACCTAATGGACTTCACACCTTGAATTTTTCAAACTCAAAATTTTTTAACTGAATAGAAGATGAGATTTTCCCATGGACATGTAACAGCTAATAGTAGCAGTTAATATATGCACAATTCACCTGGAATTCTCTGAATATACAGACTCTGCTTTTAAAACTGATATTCAACTTAATTAATGAACACTCAGGTGATGACAATACTCTGTTGGATCAGTTGCAACAATGAGCAATGTTACAATGTTACTAATGTTCCAAAGCTAAAGATGAGCTGAAATAAGGCTTAATAACTCCTGCATTTACCCTACTCTAAAAGTTTTATTAGGTTGAAATGGAAAAAGACTTACCTAGTAAATAATTGTAATAACCCCATCATTACCAAAATGATTATCAATGTAACTGTGATATTCCTACAGTATGGCATAGTGTTGCAAACTATGAAAATGGCAAAGAATGTTATCATACCTGAAAACTGCCACTCATACTGTCATAAAATTGGAAATGCAAGATCCATAGGTTTCAGAACAGTAAGGTACCTCCTGACAAGTTATCTAGATGACTGATGTGTATTAAGCTCCCTCACATTTATTATAAAGTACAGGAAAGAACAACCTCTGTAGTCAACATGTTCTTAGATGTCTGCTTTTAGCCATCTCTGGACCCAGGGGCACTGCATCCCAGAGGAGTCCAGATACTGCTTAACTCATTAGAGGTATAGTAATTACCCAGTACCTATCTAGGATCAATTCTTCCAAAGCCCTGTGGTTGGGGCTTATGATGGCCATTTATAACTGAACATACTTAGAGGGAAAGTGTTTCTGACACACACTTACCCTGTTCGTGTTCATAAAATTTTCAGGATTTATATGTAATTCCAGCTTAGATTTTTGAGTCAGCTAACGGTGGGCTAACTGAAAACCACTGAAGTAATTGCAAATTCTTTGTGTTTAAATGAATTGGTGCTTTGATCTAGATTATCAAATTGTGAGGCTTCAGTTGTTCATGAGATATTTTTGTTACTCTTTAAATTTTGTTGGCACATATAACAAGCCTCCTCTTAAATGTCTCCTCCTTATGATTTATGCCAGAGGTAACTTCCCAAAAGGCTATTGGTGTTAGTTATCCCTTCCCATATTCCCTCCTATAACCTGCCCTCCCATCTCCCACTGCATTTAATCCTTGTATTCTAGTTTCATGTTTATGCCTTTACAATACTATACCATATTTTACATTCCCTGGAAGAGTCACCTCTTCTCCTGTGGTGAGATTTTGTTTTTTACACTCTCAATTATTTTGTTTAGATTTATTTATTTTTATGAATGTTTTGTTAGCATTTATGTATGTGCACCACGTGAATGCTAGTACTCATAGAAGTCAGAAAAGGGCATTTAGTAACCTGGAGCTTGAGGTTTGTATGGTTACGAGCCACAATGTGAGTGCTGGGAATCAAATACAATTCCTTTGCAAGAACAGCAAATATTCACTACTGCTGAGCCATCTCTCCAGCCCCAGTAGTAGCCATTCTTACTTGGGTAACCTGGAATCTCAAAATTGTTTTAGTTTGCATTAACCTGATACCTAAAGATGTTCAACATGTGTTAAAATATATATCATTTATACTTCTTAATTTCCTCTAACTCTTCCCATATCTCCATACTCCTTTTCAAACTCACGACCAATTCTTTTATATCACCACACACACACACACACACACACACACACACACACACACTATATATATATATATTATGTATGTATACATATATGTATTAGAATGTGTGTGTATGTGTGTATGTGTATGTGTGTGTGTGTTCCTAGTATATAGAGTTCCTAGTATGTAGATGTATTTAGGAATGACCTAATAATACATCAGGGAACTAGATATTTTCCTTTGTACAGCAGCCATTACTGACATTTTACTAAATCAACACAATTTCTATTGTATTTTAAATTCACTGAGGGGTTGAGAGTACATGGGTAGTACTTTCCTGTCATGTCCAAAAGATACTATTTTGCAGCAAGGTACTAGTTATCTGGTTTTTAAAATTGTTGTCCCTACATCCAAGGTGGTGCCCTGACTTTGGGTGCAGTGGTTGCACTTAAAATACAGCAACTGGGATTGTGGACACTGCACAGTCATGAGTTCATTGCATTTGACCAGTTGTAAGTCTCTGAAATACTCTGTTGCCAATATAAGGATTTTTAATGAGTGGGGATAGCTACACTTAATCACTGTGTGAAAGGATAAGTGTGTGTTGCACCACTTCAGATGCCTTGTGCTGCTTCTCATTGTTTTGGTTCATGAACTTTAGAGTGGGGTGTGAATACTGATTGCCTTCTCCCCTGGCACCTTACATAGCACCTTCCAGTACTGTGACGGCTAGTCCCCAAGGAGGGGGACTCCAGAGTCAGTTCCAGCTCAGTTCTTCCGAGTTCTGTCTCTGAAATATGTGGTGTCTTCAGCAATAGGATCTTACCTTCAAGGTCTAGGAGGAAACCTAGCACAAAGGCAACAGCCTATGTGTTTTTTTTACAGTCTCATGGGTTCAGCTGATCAACAACTTGAAGGGATGTTTCCCATGTCTAGAACTTGGATTTTGTTAGGTAGACTATGGCTCCTGGGAGAAGCATTGCCACACAATGATGCAAAATACATTTAAATATATATATATGTATATATATATTCACAGCCATATATACTGTATATGTATTATTAGTATGATTATGAAATAATGTGCTTACCTATGGCCTTTTCAAGCATCCTGAGTATCGTTTTTTTTCTTTGATTCATCCCTCATTTTCTGTATTACCCTCCTCCCTCCCCAGTTAAAATCTTCCCTCTACTTTTTCCCTTTTCCTCATCATAGCACCTGTGCTCTACTATCCCAATAAATATGTGCAACAAATGCTGGTGAAGAGGAAAATGTAGAAAAATATCAAATACTATCCTTCTTCCTTTGACTGCTCTACTAGCCTTCCTCT